ATGCTCTTTTTTTCATTCCATGATATATATACAATGCCAATCTCCATGCATGCTTCGACTCATAAACCTGTGACACATCAACACAAACAGAAATGTTTCTCGTCTTCAATCACAGAGGTATTAGTTAATTTACAATAACTACAGATTCTCTCTGTCATAGGTATATTATACTCTCTGTCATAGGTATATATATATATATATAATTTTTTGTTTCTTTTTTTAACGTTTGGAATCAGCCATATGTTTTTGTGCACCCATAGTGACGATGGTGAATTAAAATATGTTGTATTTTTTTGTATTGTAATTTAATTAGCCTAATTAATTTGATTACTTTTAATCAACTTGCAATCATGCTTTCTCTAGTGCTGGTCCTAGACTCTGGAACAGCCTCTCTCCAGAAATCAGAGCTGCACCAACCCTGCTTATCTTTAAAGTGAGATTAAAGACATTTTTATTTGACCTGTCGTATGCAAACTAAATGTTGAAGCAATTGCCCTGTGGTTGTTTTTATTTTATTAGGGCCCAAGCCCAAAGGGCGAAGGCCCTATTGTTTTCCTTAGGATTATTTATTATTATTATTATTATTATTATTTTTCTGCTACCTTTTGGACACTTTTGGAGGCCTTAACATGCTCAAAAACTCCTGAAACTTTGCACACATGTCAGAACCCGCGGCCATCAGGGCCGGGCTGAAGATGGTACCCGGGCGTGGCAGGGGGGCTCGACAGCGCCCCCTGGAACGGGGTCCGAAAACATGGTCCATAAATCAAACACGCTTGCATGTAATAATATGAAACTCGGTACACATGTAGATCTCCTCGTTTCATATATACTTCACACTCTTACTTTTTACCCCAGCCCAACAGGAAGTCGGCTATTTAGGGTTGTTGGTAAAACACACGCAATGGAATGTGAAATACTCCTCCTAGAGAATTCAAACAAACGGCACGAAACTCGGTCAGCATGAAGTCAAGACATTGAGGATGAAAGTTTGCGAGGGGATTTTTGATATCTCGAACGGTTTGGCCGTGGCGAGGAAACGAATTTATGGCGAGAAACAACAAACAAGAAGTGCGTTATAACTTCTGCATACATTAACTGATCTTGATGAAACTTCAGCAGTGTGATCGCTGTAAGAGGCCGATCACATGGATGTGACTATTGTGAGTCAAAGTTATAGCGCCACCAACTGGCAGCAGGAAGTGTGTCACTTTCTAAATGCTTTTGACAAAAGTGGGGGGGTTAGTTTTATCTACAGTAACAAAACTCGATATGTATATTGTACTCTTCGAGCCGGACAACTTTCTAATTTACCGTAATTAGCTACGACCAACAGGAAGTCAGATATTTTGGTTTGAATGTGGATTTCAGATTCTGAGTTTTTAGCTACTCCTCCTAAGTAGTTTATTTTATTCATGCCAAACTTTTTCAACATGATGAAAATACATTGAAGATGCTAAATTGTGAACAGATATTGAATATCTCAAACGGTTTTGCTATGGTTGAGGGATTCAAGTAATGTCAAAAAAAGAATCAGGGCATGTCTCATATCTTTCTAAAATGTAATTATACACCATTTATTTTTATATAAAATTATACAAATATTAGAACTAAACCCATTTTATTCCTTTTTTTCAATTTAAGAATTATTTTTAAGTTTAAAAACAGCCAGAATGGTTGTTTAGTCAAAAATAATAATAATCCAAATCATATATAGTGCTATACTGCCCTCTTGTGTTCAAAATCAGGTAGGCCTATTGAATTTATAAATACTTATATATTAGGGATGTTACTATGGGAATATTTTCCCACCGGTTAATCAACGTGTGATTGTGTAAACCAATTGTGTAAACCTCCCGCTGGGGGGTTTAAAAACACTAACTTGAAAGCGAAAGTATAATATGGACGTCCGCACAGACATTGAAATGGTGGCGCTCGAATGAATTCCTATGGAAGTAGAAATTAACTAAACGTTCGCTCTGTTCTGCTCGCTCGTCGCCATGGACGCGCACCATTATGAATGCCAGTGCAGCCGCATACTTTTTAGTGTCACTAAAATTAGTGCAATTTCGGGGGCCGATTGCTTGAATTGTGAGTTCAATAGTCTATTATTTTTCACGGAAAACACAACAATAAAAGAGTACAATGACAGATTCGCTTAAATAGGCGTTTTTACATAAAATAGCCTATTCCATCATCATCTTTTCAGTCAGCTCTTCACTCTCGTGATTAATGAAATTTGACTCCTGTTGCTGATATTTGCTGCAACTTTCGTTCAGCTCACAATTTAGTAAGCAAACACGTTTCAAATGTGTTTTTATTTTATTTTTGTGTATGTGTGTGTATATGTATGTATATATATAAATATAGCTTATGTTTCAAATATGAGTTAATTAACAATCGTTGGAAAGAATGATACTTTTAAACATAACACTAAACCGTCATTAGGTGTCGCCAGGCGACCGTCTTAATGAGCGAGTCATTGATTCATTCGTTTGAA